GAAAACTTAGAAGTAAACTTCGAAGATGGCAAATGCTGTGGAGAAATAAAAAGCAAGGAAGGTGAACAATGAGTGCCGCCATTTTCTACTAGGTCATCCAGGAAGTCTTCAATGGAAATGGGATTGGAGCAAAGATTTGACGAGCAAAAAGAATACTGAAATAAATGTCTCAGGGAAAATGTGAATTGATTTAGAGTCCACTCCACTGGTTTTTCATTAAGTATGTCAAAATGATGATTAGAATGTGCATGTGTTGTTAGAGGATTAACAGTTACCCTTGAGGCTGCTCGGACACCACTAACAAGACAAGTATCTCACTGTGAAGAGGCAGACATGGGGCTGCTGTCGGGAGTTGTGCTGGCCAGGAGCCCCTACCCAGCCTCCCTAACCCTAACCTTGAACACCCCTACTGTTGGCTGCATCTTTGTCCTTGAACACCCGGAACGCAATGTTGTCCAGCAGCTCAGAGCCCCCATCTGTGAAAGAGGGCAGTGTCTCAGCAGCTGGCTGTTGAATAGGTGTACAGGTGTAGGCCACTTCCAGACCCACAGTCGGGAGTTTTTCATTGTACTTGTCCCCCGGGGGACTTCAGGATGCACCACCGACCCACTTCCTCCCTCAAGTGGGTCCTCAAGGAGCCCTATCCAGGGTTAAAAGCATCAATGGCAGCAGCATGTCATGGGTCACAGCAAACCAGGTGGAAAACTGAGCTCAGACACCAGGGAATGTATCCCCAGCAGGGTGCTAGTGATTAAGTTGCCTTTGAAACCTCCAGGGGAGAAAAGGCTCCCCATTATTTCCCATCCTTTACGTAGAGAACATTTTCGGGCTCCTAGACCATGGGTGGCTGACCTGAGGAGCAGTCCCCATTGCAAGTTACTGATGGCAAAATAATGTTTTTATCAGGGATGGAATCAGGTGGCAAATACAGGAAGACTGTATTTGGCCATGGAGGAAGACTGCAGAGAGAGCCTAGACCTCAAATGACTTTGGGGAATATAGATGGGCTAATCAAAGTGTCCCATCCAGGGCTCTGTTCTTGAGAATTGCAATAGAAAGAATGAGAGAATAAAAATGAAATGCAAAAAGGAAAGGCCACTTGGTTGTAGATTGGAAGGAAAAACTTTAGGAGTTAAAAGACTATGACCTGGGCTTGGGTGGGTCATTTAAAATTCTAAAGCCTCAATTTCCCCATTTGAAAGTGAGAGTTATACTTGACCATCTCCAAATTCTCACTCACTTTTGATATGTCTAATCTATGCTTCTCTTGAATGGTTCATCATAATAGATAAAGGAGTGAATTTTGGGGAACCATTGCCAAAAATTAGATGTAAAATTCCTTATTCCCACTAATCTGTTGGGATTCAAGGATTGCAATTCCATTTCAGTACAGCCCTCTTTGCCACATTTACTGAGAGAATACAGATCATTCTCAACAACTCAACTGTTGACGTCCAGAAAGGATTACAATGTATCTGTAGAGATGCTAAGAGATTGTGAAGGCCTTCTAAGGAATGCACAGACAGACTTCACTTAAGAGCTCAGTTTCCTCGGGGAAAATAAATGAAAGAAGTTCCAGGTTGACAAATAGCAAGGAAATAAAAAGGAACTTACAAGCTCCAGAGTCATTTTTAAAACATGATCGGAGTTCATGACACCGGCTGCTGTTACAGCATTCAGTCGGGGTACGTCACTTCCACATCAATGTCGTGATTCAGAACAGTGGGTCTTTGTTGAAATCTGAGATTTCTTGGGTAAAAGTATATCATCAGGTTTGTATGAGGCTAGGTGTTACTTGTACTTCAAGCCTCAAAAGCAAATAACATTCAACTCATGTAAAATTTATTTTTTCTGATTGTAAGTCATAACAGTCAAAACCAAGCATATTAGGAAATTTTGGATGGTATTTAAGTTTCTGAGAAAGGAACAGCACAATGATTTGATAGGTAAGATTTAAGGATTACCCAGCTGTGAAGTTGCTGAGAGCTCAGCCTCATGTGTTATTTTTAAATTTGTATAAAACACGTCTATTTTTTAAATGGTATTGCTAAACTGAGGGTTCTACCATGAAATGACTAAATCCTGGTGACTTTAGGTCTAATCTTACATTCTTTGCATGTTCCAAATTAATTAAATGTGAATTAATTAATTAAAGCTGAATTAATTAAGCAAAGGTGAATTCATTAAATAATTAAAGGTGAATTCATTAACTAATTAAAGGTGAAAGTCTCATTTTGAATAATTGACTCAAGATTTACAAACCCTCATGCAGAATCGGTCTCACTCCTCCAGAAGCCAAGAATCACATTTACATCAGTGTCCCGCCCAGGAAAGACACCTTCCCCATGCTTTGTCCCCACTCCACTGTAGTTTCTTTGGGTTTCCCCTTCTGCCAGACAGACCATGGGCTCACCAGGGAAGAGAAAGAGAGATGCTCAGCCCCGAGGCTGCTGGACTCTAGCTCCTCAACTCCAGCTACTAGCCAAATGGTAGCATGGCCTGGCTTCTAGATCAACACCCAGTGCCCTCCCTGTACTCTCAGGTTGGCCTTCTTGAGTACAAATTTTAAAATAATCTCTAGCGTGAGGAACTCATGAGATCACAAACTATAAGAAAATGAATTAGATGCAGAATCCAGTTTTAACTTGTTTAGGGGATTAGTCTTAGTAGATGGTGTGATGGCTAATATTGACTGTCGACTTGATTGGATTGAAGGATGCAAAGTATTGTTCCTGGGTGTGTCTGTGAGGGTGTTGTCAAAAGGGATTAGCATTTGAGTCAGTGGAATGGGAAAGGGAGACCCACCCTTAATCTGGGAGGGCACCATCTAGTCAGTTGCCAGCATACCTAGAATAAAAGGAGGCAGAAGAACATGACAAAACTAGACTGGGCTAGCCTCCCAGCCTACATCTTTCTCCTGTGCTGGATGCTTCCTGCCCTCAAACATCGCACTCCAAGTTCTTCAGCTTTCGGACTCGGACTGGCTTCCTTGCTCCTCAGCTTGCAGATGGTCTATTGTGGGACCTTGTAATTGTATGGGTAAATACTCCTTAATAGACTCCCATATATATTGCTTATTGTGTGAGTCAATACTCCTTAATAAATTCATATATATATGAGCTTATATATCCTTATAAACTTATATATATATATATATAATATATATCCTATTAGTTCTGCCCCTCTAGAGAACCCTGACTAATACAGATAAAATGAGATTTTTAAAAGTAGATGCTTTTCTAGGTCAAGAGCAACCAAATTTTGGCAATTTCACATGACTTGAGCTCTACTTAGAAATCCTTCAATTCTGGATTCTCTGTCTTCTTACCTGAGTTTAACCTATTCCTGCTCTTCCTGAGCTTCTCAGAATATGCCTTCAGATTCCACCATCTATCCTTAAGCCAGCTGAGTTCCCACTAAGCTCTTCTAGCCAACATCCATTCCATAAACATTCATTGAGCACTGGTTCTGAACCAGGGAATGCTGCAGACACAAGGTCAGATGTATGTCTGTCTTAACCTTTGAGGAGTTCATAGTCTAGTGAGAAACAGAAACTTTAAACATGTACATAATTAGGTTAATGATAGAAATATGTCCAAAGCGTGAAAGAGAATCAAGAAGTATCATGCTTATGGGAAAGAGTAAGGAAGATTTCAAAGAAGAGTCAATATGTGGATTGTGTCCTGAGAGAACTGTAAGATTTCCTGAACAAACCAAAGTAGGGAAGGCATTACAGCAGGCGCAATGTGAAATCTGGGCTCTGGAGCCATGAAAGAACGCTGAAAGTTCTGGGGACGGGCCACTAGCTCCATAGGGCCCAATGATAGGATGCGAGGAGGGGCTGGGTGTGGTGGCTCACACCTGTAATCCCAGCACTTTGGGAGTCCAAGACAGGAGGATCATTTGAGGCCAGAATTTCAATACTGCAGTGAGCTACGATCGAATCACTGCATTCCAGCCTGGGTGACAGAGCAAGAGCTAGTCTCTAACAATTAAAAATAAAGAAGATGCAAGGAGATAAAAGGAGATTGGTGTCAGATCTTAAAGGAGCATGACGTACTCTCCCTGAATCATGTGTTTAAGCCACAGAATTTTTTTCTAACCAGAAAAATGACATGGTATTTATAAATTTGCAAAATTATAATTTTTTATATTTTATGCTTTTCTTCCTGTGACCTGCGAGACCAGAATGAAGAATCAAGCCAAATGAGTAGGATGTGTAGGCTTTAAAAACTATCTTTATTGTTTTTTTCTACTTATAAAAGAAATACAGATTCATTCTAAGTAATTCAAACATTATAGAAATATACAACGTAGAAATCAAATGCTCCCTGTAATCCAACCTCCCAGACCCAAACCACTGTTACTACATCTGGTGTAGATTTCTTTATACTTTTATTTCAATGGCAAAAGCCACAATTAGTTTTGCACCAACCTAATAGTTTATAACATATTAATATGTTTTTTCCATACCAGTAAATATAGAGTTACCTCATTCTTTTTAGTGGCATGTAATATTGTATTACATGTATTTGTTGAATTAGACCTTATGTTGTGGACATGAGGATGTTTTCCATTTTCTTTCTTTCTTTCTTTCTTTTTTTTGAGATGGAGTCTTGCTCTGTCTCCAGGCTAGAGTGGAGTGACTCAATCTCGGCTCACTGCAACCTCCACCTCCTGGGTTCAAGCAATTCTCCTGCCCCAGTCTCCCAAGTAACTGGGACTATGGGCGTGTGCCACCATGCCCAGCTAATTTTTGTATTTTTAGTAGAAACGGGGTTTCACCATGTTGGCCAGGACGGTCTCCATCTTTTGACCTCGTGATCCACCCACCTTGGCCTCCCAAAGTGCTGGGATTACAAGCATGAGCCACTGTGCCAGACCACATTTTTCATGATTATAAACAATCCTGGGATGAACACCTTTTTCCATAAGCCCTTATAAACTTGTGAAGGTGTTTCTATAGGATACATTCTTAGAAATCCTTCCAGAAACTGATATGAAGGGAATAACCATTTTTTATTTTAATGAATATTGCCAAACTGCCATCATAAAGGTTATATCAATTTACATCCCAACAGTGTGTGGTCCCCAACTTCCCTAGGGCTGTGGGATTTTATAGGCAGTCTGTTCTCATCAGAGAGACTGTAGAACCTCGAGACTCTTCATTTAACTCTGTGAATGTCTGCAGTTCATACATTTCTCTGGTGGCTGATATGTTAACATTAATAGCAACTCGAAGGTTTGCCCAGAAAAGCCCACATTTACGCCTATCCTTGGGCCATTCCAAGTATGCTTTTTTTTCCAGGAGAGTTTTCAGTTTATGACACCTTGTGGGAATGCAGTAGAATGGAATGGGTTCCAGTAAGATAAGAATTATATGATCAGAATTTTCATGGAAGAGATTGTGGTGGGCAAAGTAGAATTCAAAATGGCACCACTCATTCTGGACAAAGTTGGGAGACAAAACAAAGATGGACTTATAGCTTTTCTCAATGAAGCTTACAATATTTTCACTAATGCTCTTGCCAGGGTCAAAGTATCTTTCATAAAGGCAAATCAAGATAGAACCATCTTCTTTCTCTAGATTGGGGATCAATTCATTCTTCACCCACAGAGAATCATGTTCACTGTATGAAATAAATGCGTGGAATTGGACATTTCTCTTGAGTTGTTCTTGAGTTGTCTTCCTAACCCTGTGCCATGTTTGTGTGCATTGACCTAGCATCCTGAAATACCAGGGCAGATCAAAGTGGAGACAGCAGAAGGACACAGCCAACCCCAGAACTAGCATGATAACCACAATGGTGACAATCAACAGAGCTGTGTTGCAAGATAATTCAGGGAGATGAACATCTTTTAACCGAGTGCCCCTTAGGTTTAAAGGGTATTCACAGGTGTAAGAATCTGACCATCCAACCATCATGACCTCTGAATATGTTTCAAGCTGAATGAAATTTTTTAATTCACAAGTACACCGGAATGGATTTCTTCCCGCATTTAGAGTCTTAACTCCCTGGCAGCTCTGAACAAAATCCAGAGATGGGCTGAGAATTAAGTTCATTTCAACGTTCAGAATTGAAAGTCTACTGAAATGACTGCACCCAGGGAGATCAGTTAGGAAATTAAAAGCAATATTTAGCTCTCGTAAGGCCATCAGATGAATAGTCTCTTTAGGTACAGTTTGGATTTGGTTATTATTTAGGTCAAGTATTTGAATACCTTTGGGCAAGCACCTGAAGACAGAATCAGACAATTTATTGTATGACAGATTCATGTTGACCACAGTTTCTGGCCATGAGCAATTTTCATCATTTTTATGTTGTAATAGATTTTGACTCAGATCCAAGTGTTCCAAGGGTGTGTTGTTAGCAAAGCAACTCACTAAAGAAAGTGTCTCCAGTTTATTGCTATTCAAAATGAGAGTTTTCAAGTGAGGCAGTTGGATAGTTCTTTTAAACAACTCATCTGTTAAGATATTATTGGCAAAATTTAAATATTGGAATTTTGTAGGATAATTAGGGAAAAGCATATGTGGCATTTGTGCATTTGATATTGTCAGGTTTTCTATGTCCATTTTGGTCAAAAGCAAATAGATGTTATCCTGTTGAATGTAAAACACTCTGAAATGTACATGCTCCAGTTTTATAGTTCTCATTACAGTATTTGAGTAGTCAAATGAATTGTGGTCAAGATAAGCCTTACCACCAAAAGTCACATTTTGGATCTGAAAGTGTTCCACTGATGTATGCCAAACAAATTGTAAGATATGGAAAAGGTCGTCCCAGAGTAAATCAACTTTATTAAGTAATAGAACTGATGTCTTAGCATTTTCTAAACTAATATTTCGTTGCATTTCATAACTTACAAATTGGCTTTTGCCATCTATATTTGTCATTTCTAATATTTTTGAAGTCTTGATTCCATCACGCAAAAGAACCCAGAAATTTGTGTCCATTGGTAAAACAATGTGCAGTTTTGTCGTGTTTAAGATGGGCAGGCTACCTTCTTCATAATGAGAAAGAGTTCTGAATCCTAAGAAGACAGTATTTAGATGTAGATGAGCAATTTTCTGGAAATCTGATTTTTGTATTTTTGCCCCACTCAAACCTAGGATTTCCAGGTGTGACATGTTGCCAGCTTCCTCACAGATAGGCATGGTGTCAAAGTCATTAAAAGAAAGATCTAAATACCTGAGACCTGCCAGTAAATACCAAGTTACGCTCTTCAGTCTGTTATTAGACAAATCTAAATATCTTAACTCCTTGTTGAATTCAAAGGTTTTGAGATTCAGATGTTGAATTCTGTTATGGCGTAGAATCAAAACTTTCAGTTTGGAGACAGAATGAAAATCTGAACTCTGGAGTTGAAAAAGGAGGTTATAGGATAAATCCAGTGTGGTTGTGGCTGGGGTCAAGTCTGCGGGAACCTTTCTTAGAGACATGTTGGAGCAGTTGGTCAACAGTTCCCTTTCTTCTGGCAGCTCTGGAGCCTCGCCCTCTACTGTCATAACAATACTACAAAATATGTAAATGTTTCTGATGAGTCTCATTGTATTTCCAAGGATTTTACCACTGATTTCCTCATATGAATGATGAAGATGAGCTCAAAACCCTAAAAAGACAGTATATAATGTTAGGTTTTTATTTGGTTAAATCCTGTAGGACTTTTATTTGTGAAAAAAATGCCAACATCTGACTATATTCATCAAGAGGTTGGAATAGGGTCCCAATCTGTATGTTGGGTCTTTGACTTGATCTCAGAGCATTGGCTGAGAAGTCTCCAAGCTGGCTACTGTGCCATATCTCCGTTGTTGAGGCAAGTCAGGATTCTCAGAGAGGAGAAGCATAATGGCCCTTCGGTTTAAGAACCGCATTGTCAGGTCAGACTCAACACCCTCTCTCACATCTCCTTTTGATAGCCTGAAGATTTCAAGAAAATTGAAAGTAATTTGTTTTATTATCAGACACTGTGAACCTTTGACTTGATATCAAGGAGTTACCCCTCAATTTTTGTATTTGCGGATATAGAAAGTCCCTGGAGCTAATATTGGACTTTGAACACTTACCTATACAGATGGAAGTTTCAAAACAGGAAACAAATAGAATGATTCCTGTCCTTCTGCCTTTATATGTCTTCAGGTTAGTGGCAAAAGCAATCTGGATCACTGCCAAATAATAGTATTAATGTTGAGAAACAATTTCCAGGTGTGACATGTTGCCAGCTTCCTCACAGATAGGCATGGTGTCAAAGTCATTAAAAGAAAGATCTAAATGTCTGAGACCTGCCAGTGAATACCAAGCTACAATCTTCAGTCTGTTATTAGACAACTATAAATGCCTTAACTTCTTGTTGAATTCAAAGGTCTTGATATTCATCTGTTGAATTCTGCTATGGCATAGAATCAAAACTTCCGGGTTAGATTTCAATGTCTCAAGACACATACTAATTGCTTCGTGTATATTATTTATTTATCACCATACTCTGTGAGGGAAGTACTATTACTCCTATTTGATAGACAAGGAAACTGAAGGATATAGAATTCTGAGGACTTTGGGAGACATGTTAAGCTTCATGTGGTTTGATTAGACATAGAACAGAGGTAGTTGGAATACTAAGATTTTACAATTATTCAAGATATTTATTAAGTACCTATTCTGCCTTTTCTAGGCACTGGGGAAGTAGCAGTGAAAAGAACAGATTTCTGTTTTTACACAACTTACATTCTAGAGAGAGGGTAAGAAAAGAGAGACTGCAAACAACACAATACATTTATATGTTATGACTCACAATTCCACATGCCTGGGGAGGCCTCACAATCAGGGTGGAAGGCGAATGAGCAGTAAAGTAATGTCTTATGTGGCAGCAGGCAAGAGAGCGTGTGCAGGGAAACTCCCCTTTATAAAACCACGAGATCTCGTGAGACTTATTCACTATCATGAGAGCACGGGAAAGACCTGCCCCTATGATTCAATTACTTTCCACCAGGTCCCTCCCACAACATATGGGAATCATGGGAGCTACAGTTCAAGATGAGATTTGGGTGGGGACCAATATCAGGCAGTGATATTGACTTGAAGGAAAAATAACTACGATAAGGGAAACAGAAAGAGACTGGGGAGTGATTTTTTTGTATAGAATGATCAAAAAAGGCCTCCCTGATAGTGACATTCATACAGAGATCTAAAGCAGGTGAAGAAGCAAGCCACTTGTTGTCTAGGGAAAGAGTATTTTGGAGAGAGAGAACAGCAAGTACAAATTTAAAGATCCTGATGTGCTTGGAAAATGTGAGGAAGGCCTGGAGTGGAGTTAGGGGAGGAAATCAGAGAAAAGGTCAGATCTTGTAAGAACTTGGCAATTTTCCTCTGACTGAAATAAGAAACCAGCAGAAGATTTAGAGTCCAGGAGTGGCAGGTTCTGGCATACATTTTAAAGATTCCTCTGTTTGAGGCAACCTACAGAATGGGAGAAAATTTGTGCAATCTATCCATGTGACAAAGGGCTAATACCCAGAATCTACAAAGAACTTAAAAAAATTTACAAGAAAAAACAACCCCATCAAAAAGTGGGTGAAGGATATGAACAGACATTTCTCAAAAGACGACATTTGTGTAGCCAACAAACATATGAAAAAAAGCTCATAATCACTGGTCATTAGAGAAATGCAAATCAAAACCACAATGAGATACCATCTCATGCCTGTTAGAATGGCGATCATTGAAAAGTCAGGAGACACGAGATGCTGCAGAGGGTGTGGAGAAATAGGAACACTTTTACACTGTTGGTGGGAATGTAAATTAGTTCAACCACTGTGAAAGACAGTGTGGCGATTCCTCAAGGATCTAGAACTAGAAATACCATATGACCCAGCCATCCTATTACTGGGTATATACCCAAAGGATTATAAATCATTCTACAATAAAGACACATGCACACACATGTTTATTGCAGCACTATTCACAACAGCAAATACTTGGAACCAACCCAAATGCCCATCAATGATAGACTGGATAAAGAAAATATGGCACATATACACCATAGAATACTACACAGCCATAAAAAAGAATGAGTTCATGTCCTTCACAGGGACATGGATGAATGTAGAAACCATCATTCTCAGCAAACTATCACAAGAACAGAAAACCAAATATCACATGTTCTCACTCATAACTAGGAGTTGAACAATGAGAACACATTGACACAGGGAGGGGAACATCACACACTGGGGCCTGTCGGGGGATGGGGGGGTAGGGGACGAATAGCATTAGGAGAAATACCTAATGTAGATGACGGTTTGATCGGTGCAGCAAACCACCATGGCATGTGTATACCTATGTAACAAACTTACACGTTCTGCACATGTACCCCAGAACTTAAAGTATAAAAATAAATAAATAAATAAATAAATAAATAAATAAATAAAAAGATTCCTCTGTTTGTTGGGTGGAGATGACTGGGAGCCACAAGGCTGGCAGGGAAGACTCCTTGGGACACTATAGAGTAACTTGTGCCAGAGAGAATGTATCAGTGCAAGTGGAGAGAAGTGGTTAGATTCTAATTGCAAATTAGTAAACAATTTAACTACACATGTCCCCACCCCAGGCACTCTGAAGGTACCAAGGGCAGGTGATAAGTTAGTGTGGGAGTTTTTCTGCTTCCATTTGTATGTATCTGTTACACACTGACCCTCAACCTCCCTCAGACAGGTCACTCCCATAGACAAGCAGAGGGAGCAAAAGACATGCTCAACAGAAAGAGGATGGGGTAGAGAGACTTCTCTGTGTGTGTCATGCTCCCAGCATTCTGAGAGGCTGGATGGGAGGTGGGGGAGGCAGTGGGCACACCCACCCACAGGAATGCACACAAACATGGTGAGGTAACAAAGGTGGGGCAGAATCAAAACATACGGCCACTTAGAATGTTACCTCTCTCTCATCTGTATTTCTCTTCTCTAGAACCTTCCCAAGTCTGGTTTTTTCTTGAAGTAAAGAAATTCCAGAAAACCTCTGGAGAGCAGGGAGTGGGAGGGTCACTCCCAAGTTTTCCATTAGCAGCTGATACTAGCAAAGGAAAGAGAGCATCTTATCTCTAATCTTGGGAACACATACGATCATAGTTTCTTTGTGTGAACTCCCTTACATCGTAAACTTGGAGAATTCTTTTGTAAAAATATTAATTATCCACATTGATCATGTAATTTTTATATTTTGTAAACTTTTCTGGTAAGTGTTCTCAAACATCTTGGAGAAAAAGCAATAATTTTGGTAAGGTCACCATATTTAGATGATTTCTCAAAATACCAACTTTTCAGTCTGGGAGACACAGCGAGACTCCGTCTCAAAAAAAAAAAAAAAAAAAAAACACCAACTTCTAAAAACATGGTCAAATGACTTAGATGCCTCTGGCCATATTTTTCTTTGCTAACATTTCAGTGACTCCCTACAGTGTAATACATACTAAAATATTATACTGCATTAATATGTAAATATAACACAGTATAATTATCAGAAAAAAACAGGTGAATATTCTATTTAATTACCTTAGTTCCTGCTGGATTTTTTAACTGTTATATATTTAAGAGTAAGTTTTCTACATCTACTTTTAAATATTTCTAATAGAAAATCAGTTTACAACTGTGGCCTGGAAGTGTAACTACTACTCAAATTATTGTGTTCATAGTATCTAATGTATAATGATAAACTTTATATTTTCTTTCAGTTTTCTTAAAACTATACATTAAATTTCAGAATATGTTGATGTCCATGCCACTAGAAGCAGAAAATAATTTTCCATGAATTCATGATCTCTTCGGAATGACCTCTTAGTAAATAAACTTTCGTTCATTTGTTTATCAACTGTCCCCTCTCCATTCATTCCCATGATAGCTGTCTGTCTTGTTCACTTCTGTATCCTCAGCACATAGAATAGTGCTTGACACATGGTGCCAGCTCATTAACTACTTGTTGAATGCACATATGAATGAATGAATCCTTGTATGTATGAATGTCAACATTTTAATCCTTAGCACAACATGAGGCATAGTATGCTCTCATAAATATGCGTTGAATGAATGAATTTATGTTGTGAATTCCTGATATAGTGCAGGGCATGATGGTTAAAGAATGAGTTTGGTGGGCTGGGCGCAGTGGCTCAGGCCTGTAATCCCAGCACTTTGAGAGGCTAAGGCAGGTGGATCACGAAGTGAGGAGATCAAGACCATCCTGGCTAACATGGTGAAACCCTGTCTCTACTAAAAAAACACAAAAAAATTAGCTGGGCATGGTGGCACGCGCCTGTAGTCCCAGCTACTAGGGGGGCTGGGGCAGGAGAATCGCTTGAACCCAGGAGGTGGAGGAGGTTGCAGTGAGCTGAGACGCCACCACTGCACTCCAGCCTGGGCAACAGAGCAAGACTCAGTCTCAGGAAAAAAAAAGAATAAGTTTGGTTTTAGGGATTGATGGATCTGTGTTCAAGTCCAGTGTTAACCATTCATTAGCTATGTAACTTGGACCATTTATTTAATTTCTGAAAGGTTTAGTTTTATCATCTGTAAAATGGAGCCTGTGAAGAGGCGTAAGACAATGTATATAAATCACTTAGTACCATGCCTAGCATATCACACTTAATAAATGGTGGCAGTTATCAGGTCAAGACTTGGGAGAAGCGAGGAAGGCATAAATGTTAAGGGGATCCCAAGGAACTCAGGAATCAAGATAATGTTTACATGAAATATTTTTAAAAATGAAAATTAATGCCAAAATTGATGTTGAACAAAATATCGACATTTGTCATAAAGACAGGATCAGTATTACTGATTGTTTCTTTTGCCTCAGGCTCTATTATGGCTTGATAGGACCCTGGCAGTTATAATCATTAGGTTGACAAAGGTGCTTTTAATGTTATCATCTCATAGAGTGCTTAATTTGTAGCAACTGACTTTAAGCTTCTAGGTCTTACAGCCATGGCCCCTTAAGAATGCAGCAGAATCTAACCAAGTTGCTTTAGCTGGAACTCTCTGGGCTGAGAAGTCAGAGTTTCTCTTACCCACTTCTTCCTCCTGCCCAATACTACAGTCTTATCTGGGACTGTAATGGGAGAAGAATGAACTCTTTTTAAACTTCTCTTAATATAATAATAATAATAATAAAGGTCCTATCTCTCAGGCAATACTTACGCATTATGACATTTTATAAAAACAACATTTATATAGAGACAGGGTCTCACTATGTTGCCAAGGCTGGTCTTAAACTCCTGGCCTCCAGCAATCTTCCCACCTCAGCCTCCCAAAGGGGTGGGATTAGAGGTGTGAGCCACTGTGCCTGGCCTCATTAAAGCAATTTTAAAAGTAGGACGTAAACATTTTTTTTTTGAGATGGAGTCTCACTCTGTTGCCCAGGCTGGAGTAAAGTGGTGTGATCTCAGCTCACTGCAAGCTCCACCTCCCAGGTTCAAGCGATTCTCCTGCCCCAGCCTCCTGAGTAGCTGGGATTACAGGCACCTGCCATCACAACCAGCTAATTTTTGTATTTGTAGTAGAGATGGGGTTTCATCATGTTGGTGATGTATTCTATCAACAGTATATATATATGTTAATATCATACCCCTACTACTATGTTAAAAGCAGGTAAAAAAAAACAGGGAATGACCTTCCTTAATACATCTTTAATACCTTATCATTTAAAAGCCCAAGTCAAAAGACAAATGACAACTAGCGTTTTACCAAAGAATATTTAATCATCTAATTTCTCTTTTCCCAATGATATAAAGAAATAGAAAAGAGATTAAGAACCTATTGAATGTTGAATGATCTTTGCAACATAAGTGTAAGAATGACTTCTTTTTAGTATTTGCTATGTATCTGACATGGAGCTAAGTGTTTTCTGTCCATTATCTTGTTTAATCCCTCAACAACTCAACAAAATGGCGGCCATTATTATTCATATTTTACAGATGGAGGAGCTAAAGCCCAGAGGTAAAGTAACTTGCCCAAGATGGCCAATTGAAGAAGCAGAGATTTGAACCCAGACCTGTTTGTTTCCTTCTGGATGGTAGCTAAACCCAACTGGAAGGCACCTCAAACCTTGAAATGAGGTAGCTTAGGATGTAATCACATCCTAAGGACCAAATCACGGAGGTTGAATCCATTGATCTGACCAGCTGCCATGGCGGCCACTTCCTCCTTTCTCACCCCATGCCCCTCTCTCTGAAGCTTCATGCGGCTGCTGTGGGACACTCTGCTAGGTGCCACAAAGTTCAAGAGACTTTGCCTACACGTGTATATATTCTTAGGAAAGTTATAAGTTCACAAGAATTGAAATAAAACTCGAAGTGCATGCTATTCCTAATTAATAGCTCAATGTAGGTGGTCTGGGAGAAAGCTCATTAAGAAATCAAATGCTCACAGGTTGTTAACCATCCTCTTCTTCACAGCAACCACATATGGCCCTCTTTGTCCACTTCTGAAGGAAAGGGAATAAGAACTGCAATGTACAAGATCCATCAGATCTGCCCCTACCTTTAAACAGGTAACACAAATGCAGAACTTTTCAAAGGGGTAAAGGAGCAACAAATATGCCTTAAATAGCCAAAGGTTTCACCCAGCAGAGGTGAACATACACCATGGGGAAACAAGAGCTAGAGAAAACTTGCCACAATGCATGGGACCGTTCAATCTGAATAGAAGGGCTGACCAGGTTTGATCCGCAATCAGTGAAAAGAAACCCACGATCTCAAGTATCTGCAACAAATTCCTCAGATCAGTAGCCCCAAGGTCACTAATCATTAATCTAGACAAAACAGTAAATACTAAAAATCTAAATAACCCTACCTCCCTCCCCTCAATATTAGCTCGAATTATCTCCTCTTTAGAAAAGACCCATGCAGCCCTTATATCTTTTTAACGAGAGTTACAACAAACAAAGCTAAGGTTCTTACCCCGGGGCTTGCACGGTCTCAGCAGAGCTGCAGGTGTGTGGATGACTCGTTGACACGGTCAGAATTGGCTGCAGGAGCGAATTGAATCAAGTTTTTCTGTAACGCTTAAACCTCATCCGCCCTCTTCTGCATGCTAGTGGTATGGCATGTTATTTATATTCATTATAATCTTAGCACTTTTTAAAATTTTGGTAAAATACACAAAACAGAAAAGTTACCATGTTCACTATCTTTCCATTTTTATTTTTTACTTTTTTTTTTTTTTTTTTTGCCCAGATTGAATACACTTTTACAAAGCAAACAAAAGTTTGTCTTTCAATTACTGTCAGCTAAAGAGCATTTGCCTGCCTTTCTTTCTTTCTTTCTTTCTTTCTTTCTTTCTTTCTTTCTTTCTTTCTTTCTTTCTTTCTTTCTTTCTTTCTTTCTTTCTTTTTTT